TATTTAAAAAGTAAATTCTTTTCATTCATATTGATATATAATTAGTATTATGCACACTTAATAAAATTATATGGTTAATAATTTAAATAATTAAGTAGTTATTTTTTTTTTTGTTAAAAGTACAAAAATTTGAATTTAAATCACATAACATATAGGTAAAATGAGATAAAATATGAGAGATGATTATTATTTATTATGTAATAAAAATAAAATAATAAAAAAATAATAAAATTATATGATTGATTAAAGAATAACAAATAAACGAGATGGTGGGAACAGTGAACACAGGGAATTAAGAAGCAGAGGAAGGGGGGGTAGTAGTGTAGGTGTGGTGTGGGGTTGGAATTATGCCATGTCGGATTTACAGTGGGACACGTTGCTATCAAGTGGATAACATGTCAGGATCTTGCCTCCAATAATCAACCCCCAATCATGTGACACGTGTGTATTTACAGCTAACACAAGGGATTAGGTGTACAGTAATAGGGGACACTCGTGCTTTCTCACTTTCACTGTTGCGGCTGCTTTGCTGTGGTTGACTTTGTGAATATTAATTACACTACCATCTGGAAATGATAGTATTATTAGACTCAGGTCCACTTATACTATTCTCAATAGTTTGAGTCATCTTAGATAGGGAGATCTTAGATAGGGAGATCTTAGTTTAGGGAGGTGAGAGATGCCAGATTTATAAGTTAATCCTTGTTAATTTTGTGTAATGCCTTTTAAAAATTTTGAGAATTAATGAATTAAACCGGATATTTTCATCATTAGATGTGGTGTTATACATGATATCAGAATTATTTTGCATGATTTTTTAGTGCATATATAACTCAACAATGATGTTGAGTCTTAAGAGAGACTGTACTTAACAGTTTTAAACAAGGATTTTTTTTAATTTATATCTTTAAGATATAGGAGAATAGTGTAATTAATTAATATATTTTTTAATTATTAAATTACATGAAAATTAAAAAAGTAAATATTAATTTTAACATAAATACTATACATTAATTTAATTAGTTAATTGTTAAAATTAAAATTAAATTTTATTTCTTTTATGTAATTAATGATTAAGAAGTGCATTAAATGTATCTTTAATCTTTATTTTAAAAACAAAAATTGAAAAAATTCTTTAAACAAATCTCAATAACAAAATATGAGAGAAATGCTAAATATATAAATCAACTCATTCTAATCCCAAATAGCCATATTTTAAACTTCTGAGATCTTATGGGTTATTCTTGGTCTTATATAACTGCAATTTTTTAACCCATGTTATTTAGAAATGTATGCTTAAGTCTCAAATTATAGAAGTGTGCTTTTAACTTGTTATGGTTTAAAAAATGTACGCTTAATTTGAAGTGTCTTGTTGAGATTTCCTTTATATTGAGATATAGGTCTAATTCTAATTGATATATTACAAATGTAGAGATCAATTATTGCTAATAATTTTAATTTTAAAATTTTAAGTATTTGTTAACATTAACTCAAAAACTTATTAGGTCAATAGCAAATATAGTTTCAATTTACGTCATTTTAATAAATTTGAGGACTTTGTATTTATACATTTTTCAATTTACTAAAAAGACAAGTACAATTATTTGAGTACTGAAGTATTCATTTTCATTTTTAAGGCATACAAATTGCACCTGGAACAGTAGTTGAAATAGTAGGGTGCGCCCTAGATCATAAATATCACCATAATTCAAATTCTCAGGAAATAATTCCCCTTTTCCTAATTTCTCAATATTCAAAAAACGAAAAAAGTATTCAAAATCGAATGCACCTTTTTTATAAATAGGTGAACACACTCTAAACTTCGGGTGTGGTTATGCACAAGAATTTGTAAGGGATCACAAATCATTGTATTTATATTTAGTTTAATCGATA